GACCCCTTCTAAACCCAGCCTGGACTTCTGGCAGTTCTCTGCTGATGTACTGTTCCAGTCATTTTTGGATAATCTTCAGTAGAATCGTGCTTGCATGTGAAATCAATGATATTGTTCTGTAGTTTCCGCACTCAGTTGGGTCACCCTTCTTTGGAATGGGGACAAATAGAGATCTCTTGCAGTCAGTTGGCCAAGTGGTTGTTCTCCAGATTTCTTGGCACAACTTAGTGAGCACATCCAGGGCAGCATCTGTTAGCTGAAATATGTCAACTGGTACATCATCTATTCCTGGAGCCTTATTTTTGCTATTTCCTTCAAAGCAGCCGGAACTTCTTCCTTCATCACCATAGGCTCTGGCTCAAATGTTATTTCATTAAATTCTTCTGTATCTGCCATTCCTTTCGATACAGTGACTCAGTATATTCCTTCCATCTTCTTTTAATACTTTCTGGATCATTTAATATTCTGCCTAAAGCATCCTTGATTATAGCAACTCTAGGTTTGAATTTGTTCTTCAGTTCCGTGAGCTTAAGAAATGCTGAACAAGTTTGGCCCTTTTGATTTTCCGATTCTAGCTCCTTGCACATTTCATTGTAATATTTTGCTTTGTCATTCCATGCTGCCTTTTGGAATCTTCTGTTCAGCTCTTTAATATCTTGTATTCTTCCTTGTACTTTGACTTCTCTATGCCTCAGTGCAATCTTCAGAGTTTCTTCTGACATCCATTTTGGTCTTTTCTTCCTCTTAGACTTTTTCCAGTAACTCTAACATAAATCACATCAGCTAAAAAATATGTGTGAGTGCTATGTTGTATATTGTGTTTGATTAAATAAACATGTGTTATTGTTGTTATGTGAAGTCAAGTTGTCTGTGACTCATAGCAACTTTAAGTATAGCAGCTCTGAACCCTGCTCTATCCTGAGAAAAACTTATCGTAATTGACACACCTACCCCCATTACCCCAGTCACTGAGTCAATCCATTTCCTTGAGGGTCTTCCTCTCTTGAGCTGTCCCTCCACCCTCCCAAGCATTATGTCCCTCTCCAAGGACTGGTTCCTCTTTAGCCTCCTCTAATGCTAGTACCATCTCAGGAACAGGTTTCAGGTCTTGAGCACCAATGAGCGCAGGCCAAATGAGCTCTTGAGGATATCAAGAAAATCGTCCATGAAGAGTGCAAAAGATCATTACAAAGGCTGAAGAAGAAGAAAAGACCAAGATGGATGTCAGATGAGACTCTGAGTATTGTATTAGAGCACCAAGAAGCCAAAGCTAAAGGAAGAAACCAAGAAATCAAAGAGCTGAACAGAAAATTTCAAAAGGCAGCCAGGGACGACAAAGCAAGATACTATAATGAAATGTGCTGAAGTCAGAAAATCAAAAGGGCCAAACTCGCTCAGCATTTCTTAAGCTGAAGGAGTTGCAAAACAAATTCAAGACACAGGTGGCAATACTTAAAGATACTTTGGGTAGAATGTTAAATGAACCAGGAAGTATCAAGAGAAGATGGAAGGAGTACACAGAGTCACTGTATCAGAAGGAATTGGCTGACACAGAAGAATTTCATGACATAACATATGAGCAAGAGCCTATGGTGGTGAAGGAGGACGTTCAAGTTGCTATGACAGAATTGGCAAAACACAAGACTCCAGGAGTTGATCACATACCAGTTGACCTATTTCAACAAACAGACACTCAGTTGTGCCAGGAAATCTGGAGGACAGCTAGCTGGTCAACTGATTGGAAGAGATCGATATTTGTTCCTATTCCAAAGAAAGGTGACCCAACAGAATGTGGAAATTATCGAACAATATCATTGCTATCACATGCAAGCAAGATTCTCTTGAAAATTATCCAGAAACGTTTGGAACAGTATGTCAACAGAGAACTGCCAGATGTGCAGGCTGGATTTAGAAGAGGCCATGGTACTAGGGATATTATAGCTAATGTTTGATGGAT